GGTACTACTGCAGCATCTTTTCTCTGCAATAAATTCTAATCATGTAACAAAATGTTTTAATCTCTTAAAGTCTGTGACTAAATACAGGCAGCATTTGCCTACTTCCCAGATTGCTGACAAAACAGCCACATTCTCTTTGGTGGCTTAGGAGACCAAGGGCATTTACTCATAAGTGAGCATGTATTCTTACGGTACTGTTGGTGCATTGTATTGGAAACAGTGCTGTCTGAATGTTGAGACCATGAATATCTCAAACTAAGCCAAATCTTTCCTTTGCCTGATCTCTCTTAATTGATATTTCAGAGATATTTCATAGTGTAGATACGGACTATATCATATTTTTCTGTGTGTGTCTTGAGTATCAAATGAATGCTTGCATTTACAAAGGACCACAAAAAACTCTGTGAGTGAAATTCCACTGTCAATTCACTTCTACTGCCAAATACACAGAGCCAAAGAATCATCTGTTATCAAGGTCCAGCAATAGTTTATCTGCTATGAAGAACTGTCATCATCTGATTTGTCTTAGCAGCTTTTAAGTTCCATGGCAATTACTTTAGAACCAGAGCAGCACTAGTGTACTAAATGTAGGTTACCTTTGAGGTCTTGCCTTATCTTGAAATGGGCATCAACAAGATCTTTGAATGTGTTAGCTGGATCTGAGAGACAAGATAGCTGTTCATCACACTTCTGAGGCTGTCTCCCACCTCCTACTATGATGTCTTGCTTTCATTTTGTTGCAATTCTCTTTAATCTTTAACCCCTCAAGCTGAAAATTTTGTAAACTGCTTTTTATTACAGAAAATGCCAGCCAAAATAGTCTTATAATTTTAAAATGCAAAACAGGGAAAACACAATATGCTTTACGTGTTAAAAGTACACTGCAAACTCTTCTGAAAAGCCCTAGCATCTCTGTGGCTAAGGTAAGAAAATGGAAATTTGAAAGTGCATATTCTGCATCAGCAATGCTATTTTATCACTATGAAGAACATCTGGCCCTGTTGTGGCCCTGTGAAAAATCATTCACAGAATGAAGGTTACTTTACTGCTATAACAGCAAAAGCCTTCATCACTGGATATGATGTGATGTGTGCCTGGATGTGTGTCTGGACATCCCTTACCAAACAAATGAGGGCACTCAGCTGCCTGTTAGCTCTCTTGTTCTACCAGGCTGAGTGCCTTTCAAGCAGGCATATGGAGGAAGGTGGTATGCTGTTGAGGAGAGAGAATAGACCAGCAGGAAAAAATCTTTGGTGTAAAGGTTATAGAAGCACAAAATCAGTGACTGCAAGCCAGAATGTTGGAGGAAGAACATGCTGAACAAGGAGACTGGTGAAGGAAGCTAAAGTGTGAGAGGTGAGGAATGGGATTAGGCAGACAAAAAGAAGCAAAGCTAAGTATACATGGGGATGATTGGGACTATGAGAAAAAAACATAGAAAATACTGTGGATGTGGGAAGAGAAGGATAATTAGGAGAAGGACTGTGCTAGAAATGGTGGGTGCAGAGAGCCAAAGAAAGTGCAGGGCAAGGACTTCAGATGAAAAGACAAGAAGATGATCTTGTATTTTGCAGAGGAAAAGGACAAAGACCTAGAAGTAGAGGTAGAAAGAGAACTGGTGGGTGGAGGGAAAAGAAGAAATAAGTGACAGAATTAAGAACATTTGATAATGTAATCCCAGTAATTATAGTAATGCAGTAATCTGTAAGCAGAGAAACCAAATACAAGCTGTGCAAGAAATCTTCCCTCTAATACTTCAAAACCCCTAGTGCACCTCAGTACCCATAGTACTGTCCATCTTAGATGTGCTTAGCTGTGCAAATATGGAATATCAAGTGGGTAGCAGTGTAAGAGGGCAGACATTCAGGAGGTCATATAGTGGTTTAATTTCTAGCATCACTTTTCCTCCTTTGAAATACACATACCTCGCATTTGACCTGTCTATCAGAAAATATCAGGGTAAGTCCTGAATACTGCAGGCTTTCTGAGATAAGTTGAATCACTAGGCTTGATCTGACTGAGAAACTGAACTTTCTTTAAGAACTTAGTCCCCCATAGCTAGAAATCCGAAATCGCTTGTGCTTGTGTCAGTCAGCAGTCTCCTGGATTTCTTCTGCAAAAAAGAGAGCCCCAAAAGACTTGGTTTTAGCTTTGCAGAATTAAATCCATTGGTCTGCAGCAGTGACTTTCAAATTATAATCTGAGAACCACAGGATCCATAGATGGAATTTATAAGGACTGTTTGCTTAAAGTTGTTGCAATTGCAAATTTTGCAGATGTCTGAAAATTGGACGTCCCTAATGGGCAGGGTAAAGATACACGGAGGACTGGAGACACTTCACAATAAACCGTTCTGTTACAAAGTGTCTGGTTCTACAGAGCCACAGTTTGGTATCTGAGTGTATGCTTTTTTTTATGCCCTTTGGGTTCTCTCTCTGTCAAGGGTCAACCCTTCTGACAAAACTCAAGTGCCTCTGCCCACTGGAGCTCTAGATTTCACTTCCAGCTGGGATATGCTGGTAATCCTGAGATACAAAATCTTCTTCTAGCTGTATAGCAGTTGATTTCAGTTGTGTAAATCCAAACATTAGCTGGATACTATAAATAGGCAGGATGTGTAAAGAGGCCAAGTTGAAAATGTGCAGGAATCATGCTTTTTATTCCTTTAATGCAACCCTGAAGTTGTGCTATGTTTCACCATGTATATAATATTTTTCATCTGAAAAGGAAACAATAGTCTTGTGCATGGTGAGTGTAGTAATTAAGCAGACATAATGAAGCGTTGGATGTCACACTTCAGAGAAACAGATGCGGGAGGATGGGTAAGTTTTTCTCAAATTTTCTTGGTCTTAGTGTTTTCTTGGAGGTAGTTTTCTGCAAGATTGGGTAGAGAGCAGAAAAACATCTGTTTCATATTATATGATGGTTATACTTTGGCAATGGAAAAAAATGGCACTTAAAAAAAGGAAAGAAGAATAAAAAAGAAAAGCTTGGCAACTACAGAATGGAGCAACAATTACAAGAACTATCTCAAAATTCCCAGGATTTGTAATTTATTTTCCACGCATGCATTTTTCTGATGTTGCTGAAGTTAAGGGAGTGAGACAGAAGAAATTCAGTAGGATTTTACAAAGTAGAGCTATCTTCATGAAACAATCTCCTTTATTCAGGTTGCCCCCACAGCAGCTGTTTTGATTAACATGTGGGTGGTAGAAAAAGGGATAGGAAGCAGGACTCAAATGTTCAATTATAAAAAAAAAAAAAAAAATTGAGATCATTATTTTTCTGCTGTTTTCTTCAGTAGTGAAGACCGTCTCCCCCTTAATTGCCATTGTCTATGGGTACAAGAGAAAAATAAAATCAGTGCAGATGTTTTTCAGAAACACAGCCGTGTAAAGTATCTTTGTGATGGGAGAAGGGAAAAATACTTCGGCAATATAGCAGCACAGATTGCTGTGTCACCTACTGCATGTTCCAATATACATTTCTTCTCTTTATACAAGGGATGCTCCAAAAGTAATGCTTCCTATTTTATTGTGTCGGCCCATAATGTCAGGGGCAGATGCTAGTGGTATGGCAGTAGAGGCTTAACCTTAACAACGATATTCCATTATATTTTGTTGCCATTCAACATATGTCAGCAGAGGGGTGGACTGACAAATTGGTGTGACACAGAATTGTGTCTGAAGCAACAGTATGGAATTGAATTTCTCCATGTGGAAAAAATTGCATCAATTGATGCTTGCTGGATGTTTATGGAGATCAAACAGTGGATGTTTGGTGCAGCGAGGCAGTGAGTGCTGAAACACTGCAAAACAATGTGTTACCTCTACTGGTGCAGATTTTGATGTGTACAGCATGCAGACTGTTGTTGGCGAAAACGTTTAGCTAATGGTGGTGACTATATTGTAAAATAGTGCTTTGTAGCTAAAAGTTTTCTCTACCAAATAGTGTTTCGTGCTCTTTGTATCCACTGCAGTTACCACAGAAATAAATGGGAGTCATTACTTTTGGAGTACCTATATACATTCACCCAGAAAATGCTTTTTACTTTCTTTTTTTTGTTGCTGTTGGTGGAGGTGTTGATTGGCTCTTACATTGTTAGTGGTTTTTTGTTTGTTTGTTTGTTTGTTTGTTTGTTTTCCTTTTTAATTTGTTATTATTATAGTGTTAAGATAGTGTAACTCCTAACTGCAGACCTGTGAATCTACTCCTGTGGTAGACAGTTTCACTTCTGGGTAAAGTTGGCCAGAGCTGAGGGTGCCATCTGTCTCGTTCAGACAAGACAGGGGGGTATGATTTGCAAGCATCCTCCATGTGTGCAATAATTGGTTCATCCTATTGAGCTGTTTTTTATGTCCTCTTACTTGTATAGCAGCATGTCTTAGCATTTACAATACTGGGAGCTAGAAATATTAGGAATCATGTACTCCCAAGTTATTCAACTATTGAACTGACTTGAAACAGAGCACTGGAACAAAATAAGTTCAGTGTGATTTTTAAGTGAAAGCTAATGTGAAAATGTGGGAGCTTGAACCAATGGAAACACATTAAATTTAAAACAATTTTCAAATGTAGTAAAGAAAAAAATGGTGTTTCTGGTCTTGAAATTCCTCAAGGACACATTTTCTTTCTGAATCATGATTTAATTAGATTATATTTTATTAAACATTCTTTACAAATTTTAAAATACTGCTATTATACATGCACAAAGGAAAATCAGTTTGAAAAATTTTGTGTAGGCATTCATTGAAGTCAACCACAAAACAGGAACATTTAATACCAGTTCTCAATATATATCTAAAGTGCATTATGTTACAAAAAACAGAGAAAGTCAGCAGCACCAAGATACGTTCACAAAATAAATACACCAATCAACAAAATAAATTAGGGTAAATGTGACAATAATAACTGTCTTAGCCAATAAAAATAATAAAAAAAAAAATAATAAAAAAAAAAAAAAAAAAAAAGGAAAATTCACAATAACCAAATGTGCAGTTTCGGAGAGCAATGGGACAAAAAGGTTTTATTCTGAGCATTTACAATATTTACAGGTAATAAATATTTTAATACTTCCCATATGTTCTATGTTCACTATTACAGAATACTGCAATATGTCTTCCAAAGTTGTCTTGCTGAAAATATCAGCGTCTCCTGCAGAGAAAAAAAAAATGGAAAAAAACAAAACCAAACAAACATTAATTTTTCACTTTAAATATATAGATCCAATATTAATAACAAGAGTTACTCAGACTATAGTGAGTGCACCTTGGTAATAAGCATTTGCACAAATAAGAGCTGGTTAAATGTGCTCTACAGTATTAGATATATTTTCAAAATCTATTTCTTTCAGTGTATCTCAGCTGACAGTATGAAGACCTGTAGTTTATTGACTCAGACCATCTACACTGCTATGCTGTAATCTCGGACAAATAGGAAAGAACTTTGGTTTTCTGTAGGGCCTTGCAAAATAACATTCCTGAGTGCAACAGGTAGAAAAAATGTATCAGTCTATAATAAATATATCAAGGGCGTATAGCTGAAGAACTGAGAAATTTCATTTGAGGATAAGAAAAATAAATTTCCTTTTGAACATTCTGGCAATCACATCCCTCTTGCATAAGCACCTTGGGCATTGGCTGGTTTATGATTAGAATTGTCCCACAGGATTATTCAGTCTCTCTTTCTCATGGTGAGACCACCAGACAGACTGTTCATCGTGGAGCTGTGTATTTCTGAACTGTCATGACCATGAGTTCAACACTGTTGAAGTCAGTTTAGGTCTTAAAGCGAAGAGATCCTTTACAGCATGTCTCTTTAAGGAGTTTAATAAAAGAAGAGACTTTATTCCTGAAACTCTCCCTTTCTGAGCCAAACATCTAGGACTGGAAAGAAAATGAGTATCCCATGTTAGGCCATGACTCCTGTTGCACTCAGACAAAGATGAAAAATTCAGTGTCAGCTGTATACAGCCCTAAGATTTGGGAGCTTTCTAAGGGATGCTAGTGGGCTGGTGTGAGTTCTGTAATACTCCTTTCCTTGTGAGCATGGGAGAACAAAAGCAGAGCCTGCTTCTATCTGGCGCACGTAGTACTTGCTCTACATTATTTCAGCGCTGCAGGAAACGCTGAAGGGTTGGGCTTTTTTCCCTTCTGCTGCTGTGAACAGCACATTTCTGTAATGCACCTTGGTTCCCTGGGAAACAGCTATAGAGTGGAATGCAGAGCTATAGGACAGAGTGTGATTCGCTCTGCTTCTGGATGGATCACTGAAGCTGTGGGTAGCGTTCCACATGGCAGACGTGTGTGGGCGTGAGACACACACAAAACAGCAAATCCTTGAGAGTTTAAGGGGATATTTTTATGTTCACATTGCAAGGGAAACTACATTTAACACAAGGGAGTCTGCTTGTTTGAAAAGTTTCTTAGGAAATTAGGTAATAACAGTTTAATTGAATTGGAATGGGAATAGAGCTAGAATGTTCATGAGAAAGAATTTTTAAGTGCCTGGAATGGAACTACTAGCATGAAGCTCCTCAGTGATTAACTAGGGCAATATTAGGATGTGTTCAGGCTGTAGCATAACAATGGCACAGTTCATACAGCATGACTGTATATGTGTATCTGCACTACACAGGGCTGTTTTTAAGAGGGTGACATTTTCACTCTGGCTTGAATTCTGGTCTTTATTGTAGAGTTTAAGCTAAACCACAGCTCAACAGTGAACTCTGTACTAATGACTACTTACAAGATATTTTCTGTGATTTTGCCTCTGATTGTCTACATTTATGAGATACTTTTCATAGTAATTAAAAGTTTTGGTTTTTTTTCTGATCTAAACTCAAAATTTTGGAATGGAGATTGGGCAGAGAGTTGGCATGAGGATTTTAATTCAGCCTATCGTATAATAGCAGGAAGGAATAAGATGTACGGGGGAAAAACAGGCTACTGCACTATGCATATCCATTTCTTCATTGTAAGGAAGTTATGCTCCTGCTCTGCTGAGCTGAAACTAGTAGCATGCTACAAAAACAGTTTTTACCAATGTAGTATTTGGATATCATGTTCACATGATCCTTCCTTGTACAGTACCAGCAAATAGAGGAGAAGATCCTGATTTAGTTCAGCATTGCTGAGGAATCAACTTCACCAAAACTCAGTCATCCCTCCATCTAAATTGCCCCCTATGTGCCAGTAACAGCACAGAAAACTGCACCGAACCTGTCTCCCTCTATCTAAAGCAAACACAGGAAGTTAGGTCTTGTATTCATTTAGATCTTAAATCTTTTGTCAACCTTCAGGGATAATTGTAGATTCATACTTGAGCTGGGCAGAACCAACATAGTATACTCTGTCCTTGTGAAGGAGGAAAAGTGTTTTCCTGTTTCAGGGTTGCTCTTTAATTTTTTTCAATTAAATATCTACAGTACAGGGCCTCTAAAGAGGCCTCTAGATTCCTAAAGGAATTTGCTTCTGTAATGTCATAATCTTGGGCATGTTGGGCAACAGTATCAAAAAGGTAAAGTCAGGATTCCAGCGTAAAGCTTACTGCCTTCAGTTATTCAATCATGACTGAAACAGGAAGACTAAATTCAGACTACTGTCTAAATTCAGGCTTATATCTGCCATTCTCTTACAGCTCCTTGTGGTTGTATACACAAAGAAATAGTCAAATTGCCCATGGATTTTTTTCCCTACTATCATGATCTCTGTGTGTTGCAAACTCTTCTGCCACCGCAGTTCCTTAAGACCTACTGAAAGTTCAGATATCTCCTGACAGGAGTACCAGAACGTGCCTTCCTTAGGCGACTGTGACAAATCCATCCTCTCTTACATCACTAATGACTACTGTAGCCACACTAACAGGTTTGTGGCCAGGGATGCTGAATGACTGGCCTTGGATACCAGTAACTTGTGTAGATGCCAACAGAAGTTGAGACAATAGAGTATGCTGCAAACAACACCCTCTGAATTCTAACAAAAGTCTGAATTTTATAAGTCTCACAGCTGGCGTCTCTTTCTAAGGGACATCCTGTGATCTAGTGGTATTTCTGTTGTGTCTCATTGTGCCAAAGCAGAAGGAAAGGAGACAGAAGGGTGGGTTTTCTTTGTTGTTGAGAATGAAAACACTTGAGGATAACTGAGGAGATGATTACTTGGCCTTGTCCACAAGTGTACACACTTCAATTAAACTGAGATAACTGCAAGAGGATGAGTCACTTGGCACACCTCTGCTTGAAACGTCAGTACACCTCTGCCCTAAAAACCCTTCATTGTCATACATGAGGAAAGCACATCTACTTCCAAAAGTAAGGCTCAACATTTTTCAGCAGCCGTATAATTGTTTCACAAGCTAGTTGAAGTATGAAGCTGAATTAAAAAATTCTAATTGCATGGAAAATCTTGTGGCAAAAGACTGGTCTGCACCGTTTGCAGACATTAGCATGAGGATTTTTCCATTTTCTCTTCTAAGATTAAATAGTAAAATGAAAAATATAAGGTAGGGACAGGAAAGTTACCAGAAAAGGAAAATGTTGAGAGAAAAGAAAGGAAATTTTGTCGTTTTATAAACGCAGAGCCTTAATTAAAACTCAAAGTTTTCAGTCTGTGGTGGCCTGAGATACAAAGTGAGAGACACTAGGAAGTTTTAATGAATTTGATGTGCTTTCTTTCAGCAGAAATAACTCTTATTGCTATACAGTTTCTAAAAGCTCGTTTTGAGAATAAGCAGTATACTAGAATTTTTTTGCGATCAGAAAAGAAGCCTTCACGGAGTGTATACTATATGATAATGACTCTGTCACCAGAGGTAAAATACTTACTTTCTGGTGCAGATTTGACAGTGGGAAGCAGAAAGGGTTACTTACCTTGACACGATGCACAGCTGAAAAACCCACTGCGTACCTATGGCCATAAAGATGTGCTACTACTCCAAATTCAAATAATGCCTTGACCTCACACACAGAAGGGTAAGAATTTCAGTAAATGTATGATATGCATGTGGAAAAGATATAGCGGAATTACCTTAAAATATGATTATGTGTAGTAATGGAGTTGTCCAAGACTGGGCTCTCAGTTACATTGCTTCCATACATGCCAGAATTTAGCCAAGCTGAGCGAGCTCGCCTCTTTTTCTTCTCTTGTTCCTTACGTTTTCCAGGCTTCGCTTTCTTTTTCTTCCCTGATACCTTCAGGGGCTGCTCCTTATAGGTCTGTGATTTGTTTGTCTCCTGAGTTAGGTATCTGCCCTCATCTTCACTGCCAAATCGGACAGGGTAGTTCTTCGTGTTGGTAGCAGGCTTAGGATTAGGTGAGACCTCTGAAGTTGCACGGATTTCTGCAGTGTTGACACCTTCAATTAAATTTTGAAGGAATATCCTTCTTCGTAAGTCTTGGATTGATTTGCCCTTGTCATGCAGTAGCTGGTGCTCTGATACAGCCCGTTTGCTGAAGAAAGAGAGGAACAGAAAGAGGCATTTATGATTTGGTGATTGCCAAATGCTTGGCAGCGATCCTCTCTCCTCTAGTAGAGACCATGCACCAGATCTCAGAGCTGGAGACATCCAGTGAAATCACACTGCTGGAGCAAATCCTGATTCTCAAAGTAGCTGCTCCCTACAGAGAAAGGAAAGGCCTAAACTAGTAATAATTCTCAGCTGACTGACCACACATCACTGGATGTGGGGTTGGATTACTCACTACTCAGTTCTAGGAAATCTTCTAAATTCTTAATATATCACACTTCAGGCAGTAAAACCAGGAAGGTAGTTTCCAGAGATAGGAAAACTACAGCATCAGGTAATGGAATACAGCAGCCAAATAAGAGGGAATAACAAGTTCTGAAGCCAGAAGCTGTATTTATACAGCATCATTCTAATAATTTTCTTCTGCACAGTCACATACTTAGTAAATATAAATAAATGCATGAAAGCGTATTTCAGTTCTAAATTTAAATAAGTACAATTGTAGGAGTGTAATGGAAAAATGTTCAGATTTGGGTGCCTGAAACATAAGCTCTTCTGTCCATAATGAGCTATCCAGAGAGGCAGCTTGCTCAACAGCAGTGATGAATATCAGCCGCTCATGTTGGTTTTGCTACTTGGTCACTTATGTCTAATTACATTTTTAGATGTCTTCATGGCATTCCATTAAAATGTGAACTTTATGGGACAGACTCCTTGTCTTTGCAAAGTTTTACGTTAGCCCTCCAGAGCATTTTGGTTTCAATAAGTCTCTGGTATTCTTTCAAAGTTCATGATATTTTAGTTCACTGATCTCTTTCTAGATTCTAGAGGAATTAGGAGATGGTTATAAATCTGTCTTTCAGAGATTTCGTATTGGCAGATAAGGCATGAAGTGTCTGAGGAAAGAAGATATAAGTGGCACCTGGATAATAAATATCTGTGAAAAATAGTCTTTTTTTCTTGGTGTGGGATAGATGCACAGCTGCACTGTGGACCACAGAAAGACTGCAGGCTGGGATTTTAGTCATGTTCTCATGAACACTTTAATAAGTTTATCCTTCCAATTGTCCTACTTCAATGTACTGAAATTGGCTACGTATCCTCTCATCTTGTATCAGGGTACTTTTTGTGACTGGATTCTTACTGGCCAAAGAAAATGTATTCATTGCCTTGCCCGTCGTGTAATTATTTGGTCAGCTAGCTGAATACATAGCTGTTTCTGAGCACTGGTAAAATGGGAGAAACACACAAATGTCAGTGAGCATTCCTTCCTTCCTTCCCATCTCTAATCATCCTGCAAGATTTCAAAACGTAGTGGACAATGATGGTGTGCTAAATGGTTGGAAGTGTTCTGTAATTTATCTTGCAGAGTCCGTTTAGATTTGTGATTTGACCAACACTAGAGCTATTTGAATTTGGTAACTTCATGTAGCATGGGTTTAAGAGCATCCCTTTCACTATTTATCTTTGTAAATTTGCAATTTTGTTAGTATCAGGTTCAACTGTTTAGTTCAAGTGATACTGCATCTCCATTACTCCACATAAAATTCAAACACTTCTCCCATTCTACTGACAGATGGCTGTTTTTGCAGGAAATGATGCAACCAGGATACTTGCTCAAAATCAGGCTTATGTACTCAAGTTTGTGAGCACACATTTAGCCAAAAATTGTCTGTGATGCTTTAAGTGTTCCCAAATCAGATGAACATCAGATGACTTCAGGCCTTAGGGCAAGTGCTTTATGTCCTCCAACTTAATGTTTCCAAGCGAAAATGCAATACAATAATACTAAGCTGAACCCATATTGTTTTATTCTCTTCAGTACAGCTGTGACCATTAATGTAAGCTCAAGATCTCTCCCAGGATAGTTTTTTCTGACCAGTTCAACTCTCCAATAGCCATCTCTAACAATCTTCTCATTAAGGTCAATCTGATCTGCAAGTGCACCAATAAAGCTAGCACCTTAGTCTCCTCTGAATACTACTTCTCTGCTCTTTGTCAGGCTGTCCATGGTGGTGCACATTACTGTCCCAGCTTCAGTAATCTATTTTCCCAGAATTTTTGCATGGAAAATGCTCTCCTTCTCCTCTTTGAGTCTGTAAAAACATGCAAAATCTTTGTGATTTACTGAGACTAAAATAGCGCTATTTATCACAGACAGCCTAAAGCCACCCTGACCCTTTAAAGGTTATTTGGTCAATTTACCCTCTGTGACAAAATTCTGAATCTCTAAAGCCTGTTATGAAAGTACTCTCAATTGAAAAGCTTTTCCATTTTACAGAGCTGAAGCCTAAGTATTTAGTTCCGGATCACAAAAGACAGTCAAAGAGCATTATACAATCTACATATTGTGCAAGTAGGCATTTCCAAAATAATTCAAAGACTGACATGTGAAGGGTTAGTGTGCCAAACAGGGTGGGTTTCTGTTTAAATGTCTGTATGATATTTAGCATCAAGTCTGTCCCCAAATAATGATCTGCTATTCCAGATAATTGCATAACATTACACAGTGTTACATTTCATATGACTTTTATTACTCAGTCAGGCTAAAGGATTACATTTTGCCTACAAATTTCCTTTTTATGCTCTAGATCGAAATATCCCTAAACAAAGATGACATGGCAGATATATATCTCATTGACCTTCTACCTCCTTCTACTCAATTACTTGAACAACTCTTTTGTTTATAAATCAGGGAAAAATACTTGCCCAAGACTGATGTAAGAAGTACTTCATATTGCAGATATCAACAATATCTCACCCCCACACACCAAGCAGGAACGTAATGGAAACTGAAATGATTGCGTTCACATGTCAGGGACAATATGTAAAAATATTAGACTGTTAGGGTTAAGATGACCCACTGGAGGTTCCTTCCATCCTTCTATAAGAGCATCTATCATTCAAGGAAAAAGATTCTGACACCAAACCAAGTACAGTAAATACTAAACAAACTCATGAGAGGTGCTTTTGAGAGGATGGTGATGGTTTGTATTTGAGCAGAGTGCCCAGATTAACCACTGTACCCAAGTACACTGCGTGCATATGAGACCTAATGTCTTGTGGGAGAAACATTAGAAAGTCATTCTGACTTTAAGCATGTGCTTTCAGATAAGCTGTTCTGTTCAGGCACATTCTTCTTATTTTTTGTTTTCTCAGTAACTAGAGTCACCAAGAAGAAACGCTTTTCAAGCAACAACTTTCTATTTCAGAATTCCTCTTCTTTAACTTTTATTATCCTTGACTGTTCACATTGAATCTGATCAGCAAAATAACTGGAAAGGATTCAGTCAACTCACTATCTGGGTTTTGCAAGACAGAGCGCCCTTGCCACTGGCTCCAATGGTTCAGCAGCTTTCATTCCCTATCTTGGAGTTATGAAAAATATTTTCAGCAGGTTTGGGGACATGGTGCAGCAGCATTTGGGCATGCTGATAAAAATATAGAATTTCACTTTGAGACATTATTGGGTTTCTCAGAAGTTCTGTAGTAACTAAAATATTTCCATAACAAATAAGCCTGGCAATCTTCTCTTGGAACAATTTGATATGGCTTTCCTTGAGAGATTTTTCTTAGCAAGGCCTAGAGAACCAAACCTGTTTCATTTTGACTATTTTTGCATGGCTATAAGAACATGCTCTGGTATTCTCATTCGCTACTGGGTTAAGCATTTTAATGAAAACAAACCTATATATTATATCTGTCTGTATGCACACATACACATATATATATAGACTTAAGTGAGTTATTAACCATTAACTCTAGGAATGGTTTGTGGTGATATTAAAACAGGACACATGTTTGAGTGTGGTGTCTGTGTTTGTGCTGTACCCACAAACAAAACAATGTGAATGCCACTAACTAACAGCTAACTGGTTTCTTGTGCATGTTTTACATGCCATGGCAAAGAGGTGGCTGAGTAATATGTTTCAAGTGTTTAACTTCCACTTTTTTTTCTCCCGCAGCCAGGATGGAATTGGGTTGTTGGGAAGACCTCTAATCCTGACTTCTATAAACGAATGTTAGAACAATGCTTACCTCTCTCAAGAAGAGAAAGATTATTTCTCAGCAATTTTTATTTTTTACAAATTTGGCTTATATCCAGTTCAGAGTTTCTCAGCATAGGAAATACAGCATTTTAATGCACTTCAATTATTTTAGGATTTTATATATGAAACTGAAGATTTGATCCTCTGGGTAGACAAAGATTATGCTCTTAAATGAAAAGAAATAGCTCAACGGTGGCTTTCAGGAATAGAAAACAGCTAAACACTAACAGATTTGATAGAACACATTGTAGCACTAGCAGCAACATGATGTTCTACACAATTTGCTGTAGAAATTTGCTTGTACGACATCGTATTAGCTGTCTGCTTGGTGCCAAAGTTCAGGTGTGTTTGAAGTCGCTTCACCTGGTGGATATTCTTGTTACTTAAACAAGAGAAGTGATATTTGAAAATTTTGTCCTTATGGACGTAACAAAACAGTTACAAGGAAACCCATGTGAAATTGCTTGCTCTGTTATGTTTCCCCACATGTTGTAACTGAATTTTCTAACACTCTTTCTGTAGCCCAACTTCCTTCTGAATTCCGTAAGAATATAGCCCTCCACAGTCTGTCTAAAGTGTTTCTACTTTAAAAAATCTGATGCAAGCCCAATAAAAGCCAGTGAAATACACATGTAAGGCAACTGCTCCTGCATCAGTTCAGTGGTTTCTCTTCTGTATTTTGCTTAGGATATATTAGTATGAGCCATGATGATTATTTTGGAAGGAGCAAAAGGATCGTTTCCTGAAGAGAATCTCTTAAGTTACATTATAATTTGTCAGAAATATGCTTTTGCTTTTAAGTCATATGTTGGACTCTCTTTGAAAAATAAATAAATAAGTAGCTGAAGTGCCAGTCCAAACAGCGTTCAGTTCCCCAGTTTCACGATGGCTGTAACTGATGTGCATTTTCACTACCCTTATCGATACTGGCTCTGTGCCAGCACTGTAGTACATGGCATTTCGTACTACCTGCAGAACCGGCAACAACCCGATGAAACGTACAACTCCCCTCAGAAGCGCAAAGAGGTGCACCAGCAATAGCTCACCTCCGACAAGCGTGCAGCTGCACGCTGCTCCCCGCAGGTCGGAGTCCCTCTGTGCCGGTATTGCCATCCCAGTACTCTGTCAGCACAGAAACTTCCCCGAACGTCCCTTGCCATTGTCTCAGCCCAAACCGAGCCCAGAGCAAACTGAGGCAGGCAGCCCAGTCCACAGCCATGTTTACCAGGACTCCCCTCAGCACCCCCGGGGTCCCGGGCCCTCCTCACCCACACCCTGACCGAAAGAAATTTAGGTAACTCACAGTCTGCGGCTGATCCCCTCTACCGATCTTCCGTAGGAGGGCACAGAATAACTCAGCAGAAACACCGCGAAACTCCACTGCTGAAAGAGTTTCGTGAACATCATATCCTCCGGGGCTTAAACCTGCAAGGAAAGGAGGGGTCAGTCCTGAGCGACACATGCGCGGGCTCCGTCCCCAGGCAGTCCCTTGCTGTCAGTTCTGCCAGCTCGCAAGCTGGGAAGGATAAACAACTTTTGGAACTCTTCGCAACAGCTCACTTCTTCCAAACTTTGCTCCGTCTCTCGCCTTTCCTTGCTGTCTGCCGCTCGCTCGCTTCCTCCCTCCCTCCGTCCGTCTCTCCGCCCTCTCTCTGTCTTCGGCCTCCCGGACGCAAGATCTCCCTTAACACTAGTTTAAAAAAAGTCTAGCTCGTATTTGAATCGTGTTAAAGAGAGTGTCCCCCCGAGCAGTGTTCAATTCTAAGCTGGAAAGCGGCTGTCCCAAGGCTTTATGTTACAAGAGAAGCCCTCTTTTCCAATAAGGAAAGATTTCCAAAAGTCATCTCAGCTCCTACTGTAAACATACACTCACACAGGTCCAGGCGGGCAGAAAGTCACTTCTCTAAGTATACCTCTGCAAAAGTCAGATTCACACCCTCTGTTCCTGAGAACTTGCGTTCTCACTGTGACGAGCGCCCCGAAGAAAGTAAGGAGCTCTGCCCAGCAGTTCCATGTCTAAGCGGGGCAGCGCGGTGCCGCCCGGGGGTTGGTAGGCACGCCAAGCCTCGCAGGTTGGAGGCCGCGATGCTCAGGCGGCCCGGGGCAGCCCGCGGGAGAGCTGCGGGAGCACGGCGGACTTTGCAAAGAGATGGCGCCCGAGGAACATGTGCGGAGCCCTGTACGTATTCGCAGCCAAAAGGGAGGCTGGAAAGCAGCACTTCCCGGGACCGGGATCAAAAGGGAGCGGAGAAAGGGAAACACCCGACAACACAGGCACGCAACAGACCCTGAGCGCTCCGGCCAAGCAATCCGCATCTTCTGCAGCCGAACTTTTTCCTCTCTCCCTTTCCCTTCCCCACTTGGTGTTTACCCTCAGGTCAGCACCTCCTCTGCCGCAACACGAATCCTCCATCCGAGGGGCAACTTCCAGCTCAATCCCCAAAACCCAGTCTAGGATTCTTTCCACCTTTCCTTTCTCACACCTACCGTTGTTCGTCGCAGTTCCTCAATTAGCTGGAGGGCTGATTCCTAATGATGTTAATTGTACGCTAGTAAAGGCGGGGAGGGGGAGGGCTGGGGGGGGAGGGCTGGGGGAAGGACTCGGTGTCTACGAACACAAGCGCTCTTGGCCAAAAAAGTAAGTTAGTGGAAAGTTTTCTCCTCTCCCTTTCGCCTTCACTTTCTTCCTGTGTGGAAGTGGCTCCCGCCAGGGAGATTCATCCCCTGGGTCAAGTCGCTCTGCAGGGCGGAAGGGTCAGTGGGAGCGGGGCCAGGCCGGAGCCCCCTCGAGACCCGGTCTATCCCGTATCCCTCGGGACAACCCCGCGTCTCGACACCCAGTTTTCCATCTCTGGAAAACATTTACGTAAAACCAAAGTTACCACAGTCCTCCCTTTTCTCCAGCCTACATGAGCAAAGAAACTGCCCCTGGCCCTGCTGAAGCAATGAGAAAGCCAAGGAACCGCGGCGTGTCCCATTCCTCTTTTCCCCTGAGAGCTCGATTTACAGCAAAAGCTTCTCCTGAGCCCTCACAAGCCGCAACAAAACGCTGAGGTGTGCCGGGTGGTAGTTTCTGCTCATCCTCTGCCCACTGTCAGGAATGCTTTCTGGGAAATTTTGTGTACAAGCAGAACATTTTTATACCTGCAGGTTATTTTACATTAAATGGTGCTTGCTGCCACAATAAACCCCCACCTCCTTCACCAAATTTCATAGCATGCCAGCAAATAAAACCAAAAACATAAGCGCTGTAACAGAAATCATGTTGAAAACATTAAATCGTTTCTGCTGTAGATAAATTCCATGAACACCTGGGAGGCTATAAAAGTATGGGTAATAAGCTTCTTTGAATTATACTGTCATTTTGACTACTTAAAAATAATTGTGAAATTCCTTGAGAACAGGGGGGCGCCGGGGGGGGGGGGGGGGGGGGGGGGGGGGGGGGGG